CTCACTGTTACGTACCAGGTACACCCACACCCTCACTGTTACGTACCAGGTACGCCCACACCCTCACTGTTGCGTACCAGGTACGCCCACACCCTCACTGTTACGTACCAGGTACGCCCACACCCTCACTGTTGCGTACCAGGTACGCCCACATCCTCACTGTTACGTACCAGGTACGCCCACACCCTCACTGTTACGTACCAGGTACGCCCACACCCTCACTGTTACGTACCAGGTACGGCCCACACCCTCACTGTTACTACCAGGTACGCCCAAAACCCTCACTGTTACGTACCGGGCACGCCCACACCCTCACTGTTACGTACCAGGTACGCCCACACCCTCACTGTTACGTACCAGGCACGCCCACACCCTCACTGTTACGTACCAGGTACGCCCACAGCCACTAGATACTCCCAGTCTGTGAAATTTATTTCAGTTGAAGAGCCAACTCCCTCCCTGCAAACCAACCTTTAAGTCATTCTCGTAAATTTACGAGCGGAACTTACTAATTTATTATGTGACTGGATTTCCAACAATGTAAATACTAGGCTCTCCAGGGTGTCGTCGCTACATATATACATTTAGTAATGTACTGGTAGGGTTATCACGTATACTGGAATATACTGAAAATGAAAGTGGTGAACTGTAGGTGATTAATATACTAATAATTATTTGGTCGATAAATGCTTATAAATGAAGACAAATATAAAAAAACAGTTTAGATTTAAGTATTTTTTGACTGGTTATAGACAGGTTTTGTGCATTTTAAATTACCCCTCGTGCAGTCGATAGATTTTAAAACCAATTAATCAACCGACCTAGAATATAACTTAGCTCTAAATGCTTATTTTTGTATCAACAATTCCTCCTGGAATAGATTTATACAAAAAATTCACAGTAGCAGTTTTAATTAGATAGCATTGAATTGTATCTAAACAGGTTTACTTCTCTTGTCTTGATCCTGGGTGTTTCGTGTGTGGTGTTGAATCCTCTAACCCGGATGTTTCAATCGTTCTTTTGTAGCATTCATTTCCTATTGGTTGTTACAATACGCTGTCTTGTAGCAGGATGGTATCCTGACTCTGTCTTCCTGGAATCTCAGTCCTCCAGTCTTAGGCGATCGAACCCTTCGTACTACACAGCTGTACATTGTCTCGTGGTAAACAGCTGTACATTGTCTCGTGGTATATTCCATGCAACATCATGGAATCTTGATTCTGAGGACATGTACATAACCTTCACGGCTACGACAACTACTACTACAACTAACCCATCTCTTTGGGAAGGACCTACTTCCACTGGGGAATCCCGCCTACCAGTGACTATGCCCTCGTCTGCTACACCTGACATTACTATATAAGCGCCAGGCTCCTTGCTTCTGCTTCAGAATCTCCACGACTATGGTGTTCTTCGCACCTACTCCTAGGTTGAGGGACTGATTACCTCATCTTCTGTATATAGTCCTACTGTCTTCAAGCTATGTCCTAGAATTTGTATTGATAAAGCCACTGGATGGCGAAATGTCTACAATAACGATACCCAGATGTTGCACATGTGTCTTAATTTCATCTTGTCGGTATTATATACCATTCTTGCACATACTGAATCTCCCTACTCCGAAATATCTCAGTCTCGCAGTACACCATTCTATTGTTCCACGTCACTTATAGATATGAAACAACTAGATGGGAATTTTCCAAATTCCATCTATTTTGCACCAACTGAGCCCACGGAAGTCACCGAGATTATAAAGTCACTTAAAAATAACTCAGGGAATCTGTCTCATGTCCCACCATTACTGTACAAGCGAACGGCCCATGTCCTTTCGCATGCTATTTCATTACTTTTTAACAAGTCACTAGAAACTAGCACCTTCCCGAAACTACTCAAGATGGCAAGGGTTACACCAATACATAAAGGTGGTGACCCTACAGACTTAAACAACTATAGGCCAATATCAAACTTACCATTGCTCTCCAAAATCTTTGAGAAACTCGTGCACAGGAGACTATATTCATTTATAACGACACAAAACATACTCAACCCTTGCCAATTTGGATTCAGGAAAAATAAAAGCACTAATGATGCAATCATAAAAATGCTAGATCTGCTTTACACAGCATTGGAAAATAAGGAATATCCACTAGGAATTTTTATTGATCTAAGAAAAGCTTTTGACACAGTAGACCACGGCATCCTACTCCACAAACTTGACCATTACGGTATAAGTGGCCATGCGCTTGCTTATTTCAAATCTTACCTTACTAATAGGTATCAGTATGTCACCATTAAAGACACAGCATCAACAACACGGCCACTTGATACTGGAGTTCCGCAGGGAAGTGTCCTTGGTCCCCTGCCCTTCCTCATATACATCAATGATCTTCCAAACGTATCCCAACACCTGAAACCCATTCTCTTTGCTGACGACACGACTTATGTCATCTCTCACCCTAATCTTACCACCCTCAACACCATTGTTAACGAGGAGCTGATCAAAATATCGACTGGATGACAGCCAATAAACTTACGCTTAACACTCGACAAAACCTACTATATTATGTTGGTAGCAGAGCAGGAGATGAACAAATTAACATTAAGATCGACAACACTCAATTATAGACATAAGAGGGCAAATTCCTAGGCCCATACCTTTACAACAACCTGAATTTCAGCACCCAATCCCCAAAACATAACCAAAAGCCATTTGACAGTTTTTTAGACGGTATCCAGTCGTGCTTTTAAAATTCCCAGTTTTATCTAGCTGTACCCAAAGGGGTTTGAATAATAGTTTGATTGTTTTCTGCGATAGGTTTGTGTTTGCTGCTCCTTTCCCCATGGTTGGTTTGGGCTTAGGTTGATTGATTGGGTTGGGTTGGTTGGGTTAGGTTAGGTTAGGTTGGGTTAGTTAGGTTGGTTTTGTTGTTTAGGTAATGTAGGTAAAAAAAGGTTAGGTTGGGTTTGGTTAGGTTGAGTTAGGTTAGGTTTGGTAAGGTTAGGTTAGGTTAGGTAAGGTTCGGTTAAGTTAGGTAGGTTGGTTGGGTTGGGTTTGGAAAAGGCGGTTGGGTTAGGAAAGGTTGGTTAGGTTAGTTTTGGTTAGGTTAGGTTAGGTAAGGTTGGGTTAGGTTAGGTTAGGAAAGGTTGGTTGGTGTTTATTTAAAGGGTAGGTTGGTTGGGTTAGGCATGTTAAGTTGGGTTTAGTTTTGGCAATTTTTGGTTAGTTTGGTTTGGTTAGGTTAGGTTAGGTTAGGTAAGGTTAGGTTAGGTTAATTTAAATTAGGTTAGTTGGGTTGGCTAGGTTAGGTTGATAAGTTTTGTTGGTTGGTTGGTTAGATAGGTTACGTTAGGTTAGGTAAAGTTGGGTTAGGTTAAGTTTGGTAAGGTTAGGTTAGGTTGGGTTTTGGGGAAAGGTTAGGTTGGTTAGTTTTTTTTAGGTTAGGTTAGGTTAGTTACGTTATTTTTCTTTGGGTTGGTTAGTTTAGGAAAGGTAAGGTTAGGGAGGTTAGGTTTGTTAAGAAAGGGTTGGTTTGGTAGGTTAGGTTAGGAAAGATTGGGTTAGGTTTTTTTTTTAATTTTAGGTTAGTTAGGTTAGGAAAGGTTAGGTTAGGCTAGAAAAGGGTTTAAAGTTGATTGTTATTTGGGAAAGGTTAGGTTGGTAGATAAGGTTGGGTTTGGTAAAGTTAGGTTGGTTTTGGTAAGGTTAATTAGGTTAGATTAGATAAGGTTAGGTTAGGTAAAGTTAGGTTAGGTTAAGTTTGGTAGGTTAGGTTAGGTTTGGTTAGGTTAAGGTTTGGTAACGGTTAGGTTAGGTTAAGTTTGGTAGTAGGTTAGGTTAGGTTTGGTAAGGTTAGGTTAGGTTTGGTATTGTTAGGTTAGGTTAGGTTTGGTTAGGTTAGGTTAGGTTGGTTAGGTTAGGTTAGTTTAATTTAGGTTTGGTTCGGTTTGGTAAGATAAGGTTAGGTTAGGCTAGGTTAGGTTTGGTTAGGTTTGGTTCGGTTTTGGTTAGGTTAGGTAATTTAGATTAGGTTAGGTATGGTTTGGTTAGGTAGTTAGGTTTGGTTCGGTTGGTAAGGTTTAGGTTTGGTTAGATTAGGTTAGGTGAGGTTAGGTTGGTTAGGTTAGGTTAGGTTAGGTTAGGTTGTAGGTTAGGTTTGGTTTGGTTCGTTTATTTAGGTTAGGTTAGGTTGGTTAGATTAGGTTAGGTTAGGTTAGGTTAGGTTGGTTAGGTTAGGTTAGGTAAGGTTAGGTTAGGTTAGGTAAGGCTATGTTAGGTTAGTTAGGTAGGTTAGGTTTGGTTAGGTAGGTAAGGTTAGGTAAGGTTTGGTTAGGTTAGGTTAGGTTAGGTTAGGTAAGGTTAGGTTAGGTTAGGTAAGGTTAGTTAGGTTAGGCAAGGTTTAGGTTAGGTTAGGTTTAGGTTAGGTAAGGTTTAGGTTAGGTTTAGGTAAGTTAGGTTAGGTAGATAGGTTAGGTGGGTTATGTTAGGTTAGGTAGGTAAGGTTAGGTTAGGTAAGGTTAGTAAGGTTAGATGGTTAGGTAAGGTTAGTAAGGTTAGGTTAGGTAAGGTAGGTTATGTTAGGTTAGGTTATGGTAAGGTTAGGTTAGGTTAGTAAGGTAGGTTAGGTAAGGTTAGGTTAGGTTAGGTGAGGTTAGGTTAGTAAGGTTAGGTTAGGTAAGGTTAGGTTAGGTAAGGTTAGTGGTAAGGTTAGGTTAGGTTAGGTAAGGTTAGGTTAGGTGGGTTAGGTTAGGTAAGGTTAGGTAAGGTTAGGCTAGGTAAGGTTAGGTTAGGTAAGGTTAGGTAAGGTTAGGTGAGGTTAGGTAAGGTAAGGTTAGGTTAGGTAAGGTTAGGTTAGGTTAGGTGAGGTTAGGTTAGGTAAGGTTAGGTAAGGGTAGGTTAGGTTAGGTGAGGTTAGGTTAGGTTAGGTTAGGTTAGGTTAGGTTAGGTAAGGTTAGGCTAGGTAAGGTTAGGTTAGGTTAGGTAAGGTTAGGTTAGGTAAGGTTAGGTTAGGTAAGGTTAGGTTAAGTAAGGTTAGGTTAGGTAAGGTTAGGTTAGGTTAGGTTAGGTAAGGTTAGGCTAGGTTAGGTTAGGTAAGGTAAGGTTAGGTTAGGTTAGGTAAGGTTAGGTAAGGTTAGGTTAGGTAAGGTTAGGTTAGGTTAGGTAAGGTTAGGTTAGTTTAGGTTAGGTTAGGTTAGGTTAGGTAAGGTTAGGTTAGTTTAGGTTAGATAAGGTTAGGTTAGGTAAGGTTAGGTATAGGTTAGGTTAGGTTAGGTAAGGTTAGGTTAGTTTAGGTTAGGTAAGGTTAGGTTATGTTAGGTAAGGTTAGGTTAGGTTAGGTAATGTTAAGTAAGGTTAGGTTAGGTAAGGTTAGGTTAGGTTAGGTAAGGTTACGTTAGGTTAGGTAAGGATAGGTTAGGTAAGGTTAGGTTAGGTTAGGTAATGTTAGGTTAGTTTAGGTTAGGTAAGGTTAGGTTAGGTAATGTTAAGTAAGGTTAGGTTAGGTAAGGTTAGGTTAGGTAAGGTTAAGTTAGGTTAGGTAAGGTTAGGTTAGGTTAGGTAAGGTTAGGTAAGGTTAGGTTTGGTAAGTCTAGGTTAGGTTAGGTTGGGTTTAAGGTTAGGTAAGGTTTGGTTAGGTAAGATTAGGTTAGGTTAGGCAGGTTAGGTTGGGTTTAAAGGTAGGTTAGGTAAGGTTAGGTTAGGTAAGGTTAGGTTAGGTAAGGTTAGGTAAGGTTAGGTAAGGTTAGGTAAGGTTAGGTTAGGTTAGGTAAGGTTAGGTTAGGTTAGGTAAGGTTAGGTAAGGTTAGGTTAGGTAAGGTTAGGTTAGGTAAGGTTAGGTAAGGTTAGGTAAGGTTAGGTAAGGTTAGGTTTAGGTTAGGTTAAGGTTAGGTTAGGTTGGTAAGGTAATGTTAGGTTAGGTTAGGTAGGTTAGGTTAGGTTAGGTAAGGTAAGGTTAGGTTAGGTAAGGTTAGGTAAGGTTAGGTTAGGTTAGGTAAGGTAAGGTTAGGTTAGGTAAGGTTAGGTAAGGTAGGTTAGGTTAGGTAAGGTTAGGTAAGGTTAGGTTAGGTTAGGTTAGGTAAGGTTTGTCAGGAAACAGGACAAGGGTTTCCTGACGCGGGTCTTAGACATATGATGACTTCATTTCTGCTCCTCTCTTTGTATATGAGAAAAATACTGAGTTACCTCAAGTATTAATCCCCGCGGCATGGCTGTGAACTCTTATAGGCTATGTGACGTCAGTATAAACTTAGTTTCTGAGATACTTTAATATCTCTTCAGAAGATTTTGCCTTTAATTATTTTATTACGCCAAGTCAATAATTATGTGACATCAAAGACTCCTTGTTGTGTCGTTCTTGGTTCCATAACGATGAGAGCTGTGCAGCTGTCAGCCCATCCAGCTGTACAAGCCTGTCAGCCCATCCAGCTGTACAAGCCTGTCAGCCCATCCAGCTGTACAAGCCTGTCAGCCATCTAGTTACAAGCTGCAGCCCACGTGTACAGCCTGTCAGCCCATCCAGCTGTACAAGCCTGTCAGCCCATCCAGCTGTACAAGCCTGTCAGCCCATCCAGCTGTACAAGCCTGTCAGCCCATCCAGCTGTACAAGCCTGTCAGCCACCAAGCCCCATCTAACTTAATGTTCAAACTCTTTTTTTTCGGGTTCCGTTTTTGCTGCAATTTATGATAGCAGAACTGAGTAACTGTTTCCAAACATATTATTGACTTGTGAGGTAGCTCGACCGCTAGCGCACTGACCTCACACACTGAGGTCCGGAGTTCGAATCTCCGGTACGGCTGGGTAATATTAGGACGTGTTTCCATAAAACATTTGTTGTCCAATTTCGCCCATCAGTATAAAATGGGTACCTGGGTGTTAGTTGACTGGTGTGGGTCGCATCCTGGGACAAAATTGACCTAAATTGCCCGAAATGCTCAGTATAACAAGCGACTTTGTATATAGTAGTATGTCATTGATGTCATCTAGGCCTTTATACGTAGTACATATACTTGTAGAAATAGAGATATTATATTATTATTATATTAAAAATAATCGGATACATCAGCTTTTGACGTGACAGACGTGTATTGGCGTCGCTAAGACGTCGTCCTCTGCATTACAACGTGATCAATGAGACACCTGGGCAGTATTCGGGTACCTTTATTCTGGAAACGTTTCGCCACCCAGTGGAGAAACGTTTATTCATACACATTGCAACGTAACGCCTGTTCACCATTTGCCTTTCTTTTCCCTCTCAGTTCTGCCAGTAACTGAATATTACGTTAATTTGCTTTATCTTCTATTATTAATATTTCACGTAGCTTACACATATTGAATCCATTTTTTTACACAGAAAAATATATAATTATTGTATGAAAATAATTTATATCTATAATGTATATGATTATAGGTAAACTAGTCATTTATATTCAATATATATATATATATATATATATATTATATATATATATATATATATATATATATATATGGAATTTATATATAGTCATATGCAAAACAACCACAGGGGGAAGTTGAATGATAGCTCTAGATCCTTCGTGTTGCAGACAATTTTTCACGACATGCCTAGAGCTATTGTTCAACTTCTCCCTGTATTTATTGCATTTCTTATTGCTTGTTCACAGTTGTTACATGTGATTATGTTTAATTATGTTAAAATTATTTTTAATTTAAATATTTTTACTATACAAGGATCATTTTTTAATTAAACTTAAAAATAAATTTTAGTATTTTTTTTATTACTTGTACAAATGGGAAATAATATTTTAGTCTTGTTTTTCTTTAATGTTTTATTTGTATATAAATTAGGGCCTCGAGTTTGGTACCATATATACCCTCACATAGCATTGTATTTCTTCATATATCCTTGAATATAATTGTATATCCTTATAAAGCTCTGTAAGAGCATATATTTATCTAGTATTGTTTGTATATATATTATATATATATATATATATATATATATATATATATATATATATATATATATATATATATATATATATAAACAGGCGCTCTTAACAATGCAGAACAAGCCACATAAGGATTGAAATTTTTAGCTCAAGATCTTTCGCACTCTCGTACGTCGTCAGGAGCTATGAAATGTTGCAAGACAGCAACAGGTAGGGGGGGGGGAATTCTCATGGGCTGCCACTGATACCTTCTGCCTTGCCTCAGAGAATTTCTCCTCCTACCTGCTGCTGTCTTGCAACATTGCATAGCTCCTGACGACGCACGAGAGTACGAAAGATCTTGAGCTAAAGACTTCCATCCCGATGTGGCCTCTCCTGCACACGTATATATATAGTCCCATACGGTTTTCTCTGTAATTACTAAGTTCCCTCTAAATCCTTCTATCTCTCCCGTCAGCACAAAGTATTATATCTCACAACTAACACACTGTATTATATAAAATATATCACGGGCGGGGTTAGAACCCACGATCAGAGAGTCATAAAACTCCAGACCGACGCGTTAGGAGTTTTATGACTGTTCGCGGGTTCTAACCCCGCCCATGGTCTAGTTTGTTTGCAATCGTGTCATTACGATTTCGTGAGTCATGCGTTATATAGCCCAGCATAACCTTGTATAGCCCTGAACAACCATATATGTTATTTGGAAAGAAATCGCTGGAAAATGTGTTACAACAAATATTAAAAAAGAAATCGCTATGAAAAACAACAGAAGTTACTTCTGAAGATGTCTGTAAACACGTGAAAGCGCTCAAGTATTTTTGCTGTTTAGTCACGTTATAATTTTTCCTGTATTGTAAAGGCATATATATAGCTTATAAATTCTTGCATATGATAATCTTGAATAGCTTTGTATATTCTGATATACTCTTCCTGGTAGGTCTACTCACATACTATGCTCTTCAAAATAGTTTGTATGATCTGTATATGTATACCTACTATACACACCTATGTATGCTTAACAATTCGCAAACTGGCGAAATTATTTACAAACATTATCTCTCAGTCCACAGCAGGATTTGAACCTATACACTCTATATCTAAGTACTTAAGCCACTTAGGCAGATCCCAGCCTATGCATATGTACTGCCTGTGTACACGTCTGTATGTCCGTCAAGGTACAAAAGCTCTACGTTCTTGTTCCCACGCCTCTTCCAATATTTTCTTCTGTTAGCCATACTTCAGCTCATTTTCCACTCATTCTCAGCTTCTTCATCACCTCCTTCCCTCCTACAGGAGGGCCTGGTGGACGTGTGGGTGGAAATGAGTGATGGGGTGGTGATGCCGCTGAGAGAGGTGCCACCCTCCCACTACTCACTCAGAGTTCGATCCCTGGATCCAGGAGTGGTGGCTGTAGCCCCGTCGCCCCGCACTGCTCAGCCCAGGGTCATCGCTATTGGTCATGGAACCGGTGACCTCCTCGAGGTAAGGTCACAGGTCAAGTTCGATGGGAAGACTTCAGTCCTAAAAGACTGTTGATGGATCACACATACCACATCACATACACATGCACACGTTCATATATGCATACATACATATGAGAGTCCTCATGAAGTCAAAATGGACTTTATCAAATTGACTTCAAAGATTATTAACATAATACCAAGCTTAGCGGCACTCTAATACGACCCAGTACGTCTCCAACACTTCCTCCACACGACTCCAACATTTCTCCAACACAGCTCATAGTAGGTCTTCATCACGACTCCAACACGATTTCCAAGGATCGTCTCCACATACATTAAGAATAAACCACAATACCCTCGCTGGAACAATTTACAACTAACCACAAACTGGAAATGAAAACCGAGCAGCGTTCATCCTGTACTATTAACAATTGACGTGTGACCTATTCAAGGTCCAGGACGAACAACGTCATCCTGTTATTATTTCCAATTTGGGATAGCTATATTATTATTATTATTATTATTATTATTTTATTAGTAGTATTAGTATTATTAAGCATTAAATCCATGTGGGTCAGACAGTACTTGGGTAATTGAAGGTAATCAGTGTCGATCCGAGGAATGGAAGGTCTTCGGTCAACTGCAAACAGGATTTAACCTTGAGTGTGGGTTTGACAGGTGAGCTTAGAGGTGTCTGAGGAGTGTGAGCACAGGAGAGCCTCGCTGGCCACCACCAAGGTTCATGTCAAGATTGATCTGGGCACCACGCCCCCGCCGCCCCCGCCTGCCCACGACAATGACCTCCGCCCACACCACTCCCTCACTGACGACCCAACCCATCACAAACTCAAGGTCACCTATTCTGCCTTCTAAGATTTGTGTGTGTGTGTGTGTGTGTGTGTGTGTGTGTGTGTGTGTGTGTGTGTGTGTCTGTCTGTGTGTGTGTGCGTCTGTGTGTGTGTGTGTGTGTGTGTGTGTGTTGTGTGTGTATGGTGTGTGTGTGTGTGTGTGTGTGTGTGTGTGTGTGTGTGTGTGTGTCTGTGTGTGTGTGTGTGTGTGTGTGTGTGTGTGTGTGTGTGTCTGTGTGTGTGTGTGTGTGTGCGTCTGCGTGTGGTGTGTGTGTGTGTGTGTGTTGTGTGTCTGTGTGTGTGTGTGTGTGCGTCTGTGTGTGTGTGTGTGTGTTGTGTGGTGTGTATGTCTGTGTGTGTATGTCTGTGTATGTCTGTGTGTATGTCTGTATGCTTTATATAATATAGGATTAATATTAAATCCTCTACGATGGTGTGAGGTCAGAAGACACTCGTGTCTTCATCACATAAATATTAACTAATGTTAACGTCAGGTGACCCAATGAGTCATGTTTACTGAGGAATACAACGGTGTGATGTGTCCTCCTCTCACATCTCGGGAGGTATGAGCAGCTCCTGAAGTTACTTGTTATCCACATACAAACGCACATCATTTGTCTGTGTGTGTATGTGTTTGTATGGTGTGTGTGTGTGTGTGTGTGTGTGTGTGTGTGTGTGTGTGTGTGTGTGTGTGTGTGTGAGGACACCGGTGGTAGTGATGCCAATAACATAGTTTTGTATTCTTCTTCAGGTCCACGTGTCTGAGCTGCCGCATGCGGACGCCGCTGCTCCCCAGAATCACCTGATGTTGATGGCGGAACAGCCGCAGCAGCCCACCATGCACTCCCGCCTCCACCCACCCCGCCCTAGTGGCGTCACGCCCCTCGAGGTGGGCATGTACGTCCTCCTGGCGGTGTTTGGCGCTGCCATAGTGGTGTTCGCCGCCTCCTACGTGGTGTATACATGGAGTGTACGTGGTGGTAAACCCATGCTGCCGCCCTCCCACCACACCCGCCGCTCCTCTCACCATAATCACCATGACTCGGTCACCAACGCCCACGACTGGGTATGGCTGGGGCGTGCCACCCTTGAAAGGGCCTCTGGTATGGGATTGTCTCCACCCTCACAGTCAGCTTCCACCGGTATGATGCCTCTCAGTGACCTCAATGGCAACAGCCAGGAGCAGCAGTTGCAGCAGCAACAACAAGAGCAGCAGCAGCTGCAGAGTACATGGCAGGAACTGCAGCGTCTCTCCCGGGGGTTCGACCGGAGTCCAATCCCCATCAACATCACCACTAACCCCGCAGCTGAGGAGGAGACAGACACAACCCACACCCCGCACCTCTCCGGCTCCACAACATTCACGCGACCCTCTCGCAACAACCGCAGGGTCACCTTCAACAACCTGGGTGAGGACGCAGCCGCCTGCAGTAGCGAGGAGGAGCGTCCCCCGATCCCTCCTCACCGTAACATAGGGGTCACCGCCAACATTTCCGGCCATGACGACTCCAACCCTCCTCCGGTACCCCCCCACGGGGTCAACGTCATCAGCAACCCTCTGGAAGAAGGGTACTCTGGAAGGCCGGGTGGCAATGGGCTCGAGGGAGTCACACTGAGCCAGCTGCAGCAGGCATACACACAGCAACAACAGCAGCGTCTTCATCCCTCACATATACAGCAGCAGCAACAGCAGCCTCACCACCACCAGGAGAAGGAAATGTCTGACCCTAAGTTCGTGGAAGTGAACGCCGATGATTTCGTGCGGCTGCGGGGTGTGTGTCGAGGCCGGGCGGGCCAGGTGCGCCGCGCCACCATACTGGAAAACCCGCTCCTCTCCTCAGCTCTCCCTGATAACTTCAGCGTTACAGACCACCTCGACAACCTCCCGCCATCCATGGACTACGATCAGCTCATGGAATACTTCTCCAACCTTAAGGAATCTAACGCCTGAGCCTCGGCTACCGTCGGGGGCACATGAGACCTCGAGACACCATAGTAGAACCCTCATCAGGACGGTACCCGCGACTTTACCTCGGGGTGTCTTCGACCATACCAACCTCAACTCGCAGACAGTCTTGCCTAACTAACGCAGACAGTCTCGCCTCACTAGAAGAGACAGTGTTGCTTCACTAATGCAATCTTTCTCGCCTGCCTCACTAAAGCAGACTGTCTCGCCTCACAAACTGTATAAATCGTGAATTTAGTGACTTGCCTGGGAGTGCCAGCGAGATAGCCTCAACCTTCGTGTGGACACCCGTGAGCGCAACTGAGCTTCACTGCTCGAATGTGCATATAGTGACTCCAGGCAACCAGTACATGACCCCTCAATATGTTACATAGATGTGGCCAAGAGTATAATGACTGCTATACATGATGCAGAGAATTTATGGCATGAATAAGAGGTATATCTTTGTTCAAGTGTTCAACTTAGGCTAGGATTATATGTCACCTGTAAGTATGCTAGTCTTGTTTAGGCCGGAGTGTTAGGTGCACTGAGGTGCCAGGAATGTAATGGTAGGGGCGGGAGTCAGGCCCCTTGCCGCTATCCCGCCGTGTTTATGTATCTAGAAGGATATAACCACTTTTTCAAACTCTTATACTGCTGTGAGCTTACGACACAGAAAAGACGAAACCTTAAACAGTAACCATTCCGAACTCAATACATTTGATTAAAGTGTAACCAAGAAAGGCAGAACGAACTGGGTTAACTGAGAGCGTCGGCTGGTTTTGTTTGTTGTAGGTATCACTTACTGCGTCTTGTGCTCACGACACAGGAGCAATCTGGGAATATGGTTAATAATGGAGATAATTTGTAGAAATATATCATGGATAGGAAAACAAAGCATCTAGTGTTTGGTGCAGTTAGACAGTGCATGAGTACTTCAAACATATTACCCGCAATAATGCTATACCTAAATGCAGCATTACTCTCCTGTCTACAGGAGTTCTAGGGTGCATTACTGGTACAAGTGTGATGTTGCTGGCCTGCAGTGCTGCAATACTGGTCTATTGTGCTGGCCTGCAGTGCTATTATGCTGGCCTGCAGTGCTGTTATGCTGATCTGCAGTGCTGTTATGCTGGCCTGCAGTACTGTTAGGGAATCGTGGAGTGTCGCTAATTTCTCGCAGTAATTACTAAGGCTCTTTCTGCAGCGTCTTGCATCCATTAGTGTGAGAAATACTGCAAGACATCATGGCTGGTCAATTTTATCTGCAGAGTCCTGTTGACCTGTACCGTAATTTCTTTGTCGTCACTTTCAGCTTGTTTTAAACATGCTCAAGGAAAATGCTAACAAGTGTGCTCCAACATGTTTGTGATGCATTTGAGACGTGTTTTAGACTCTCCGTATTTAAAACATGTTTTTTACGCATTTTTGGCTTAAATTTCAGTCTTTACGCCTTTGGAACATGTTTGTGACACATATATGACCTGTGGTCAGAGTCGACACGTTAGAAACATGTTTGTGACGCACCTGCAACCCCTGTATCATATAGCGTTTGTAACACGTTTTCAAAGCGTTTGTGACCCGTGTTATATACTCATCGCACTTGGAACACGTTTTTTGACGTGTTTACAGTCTGTCCAGGACTTGCGGTAGGGGCTCAGGCAAGGTCAACAGGGTTTGTCTAATCATTACATACCCTTTTCTAAGGTACAACTCACACAGTATAAGCTAGACAGCCATTCATAGTCTAGTGTTGGCAGACGAGAGGCACACAGGTCGCGGGGATCATAAATCAGGCAGTGGAAATGCGAGTGTTGTCAAAATGATTCCTCCAACAGATGCAAGGTGGGGGGGAAATATTAACCCGTAGAAAATGGGAGGCAAACCACGGAACGGGTGAAGCCACGGCGAGTGAGACTTAAAACTCCAGGCCAGTGTGTAACCTCACCCGTTCCGCGGTTTGTTTGCAATCGTGTTATTACGAATTCGTGAGTCATAATGAGAGGTAATTATATTTGATTCTGTGTTGTCATAGAAGATATCTGATGGGGCAGTATGTGGAAATATTAATGGGATAGCAGCTTTTACCTCCTTAAAACGATAAGCGATGTTAAAAACACGTTGCCGGATAAGCGATATTAATAACATGCCAGGGCATTGTTTTTCAGTGTGTCGAATTTAACTGTCTGCTTTCTGTTAGTCAAAAAAAAAAAATTCTCGTTAAGACATTTTTTTCATTTGTTTGGAGTGTTACAATTAGTTAAATTTGGCTATCATTAACCTGATATATGTGAAATTTCAGCTGAATCCGGTCAAGAATTCAAGCGTCAAAAAAACGATTTTTCGAAGCCAGTTTTTGATGCTCTGTTGATATGAAAGGTGAGCCATTTTTTTGTGTGGAAATTCTTTCTTTTCGAAATATATTCTTCTTTGTTCCCCCCAACAATCTGGATGCTCCCACAAGTAAGATCTTTAAATTAGGGAAAAAAAATTTAGGGCTAAAATCATAAACACAAAAATCTCTCCCAAAGACTTATTATTATTATTATTATTATTATTATTATTATTATTATTATTATCAAAAATCTAAATAAACTAACTTTACTCAATCATTTTACTCTGGTACTGAGAAGGATAAGACACGATCGATCTCCTTAAGGAAGTTATACAAGATAATGAATCTGACACTTACGCAACAATTGGGTATCTTTGTTATGGAAAAGTTTCGCCAACCAATGGCCTCCTCAGTCCAATATAGAGTTGAATGGCTGAAGGCCAGAAGGAGTTTGAGGTAATCAGTCCTTCTGCCAAGAATCGATGTGATCAGTCCATTAATTTTTGATAAAACTGATAGACTGATCACATCGACTGTGGGACTGATTACCCCAAACTCCTTCTGATCTTCAGTCATTCTTCTCTGTACTGGACTGAGGAAGCCATGGGCTGGCGAAACGTTTCCACAATCGATACCCAAGTGTTGTGCATATGTCAAATTCACCACCCCGTCGGTTCTCTGAACCATTTTATGTACATACAAGATGGTCTTGGGGGTCGGGACTGCGCTACATGAAGAGGCATCTTACCTTGAGTTTTCAGTACTGGTCTGCTATTGCCAGCTCACATTTTTTTTTTAATATCCTTATTATGTACCCCATTCCCATCCTGTGGGTGATAGTCAAAGGATTACAGAGGTATATAATGGGTCCAGGGACTGGGCCGCAGAATTTTGTTAGGAGCGCAAGTTACAAAGGTAATGAACTATTTACATGTTTATATCTGGTCACAATGGTAATGAGTTATTTATGCAAACATTAATTAGTCACAGTACCCTCGATATTATTAGTACGGACGCCAGTGTGAGGATAAACGATACTTACCAAATGTAGTCTTAGGGTCGTAGCCCACGAGCTCAGAACCCCAATGCTGTCGTTACCAGATCAAACAAAAATCAAAATTCGAAACGGAAAATTAGCATGAAAACCAACCTTGGAAAAAAAACTAATCATCATAAAAAAAAACTTTCAGGATGTTAGCATGTAGAGTAGATGAGGGGAGAGGTTGCCGGAATCTGAGGAACTTAAACTAGTGTTTATGGAGAAATCAGCTTATCATGAGTGTCGGCAGAGGGAACACGCTGTTGGCAGGGAGAACACGCTGCTGGCAGGGAGAACACGCTGCTGGCAGGGAGAACACGCTGTTGGCAGGGAGAATACATTGTTGGCAGGGAGAACACGCTTCTGGCAGGGAGAATACATTGTTGGCAAGGAGAACACGCTGCTGGCAGGGAAAATACATTGTTGGCAGGGAGAACACGCTGCTGGCAGAGAGAATACATTGTTGGCAGGGAGACACATGTTGGCAGGGAGAACACGTTGCTGGCAGGGAGAACACACTGCTGGCAGGGAGAACACACTGCTGGCAGGGAGAACACACTGCTGGCAGGGAGAACACACTTCTGGCATGGAGAACACACTACTGGCAGGGAAAACACACTGCTGGCTTGATATAGTCATCATTTACAAACTTGTTCCCATGATCAAGTTAATCAAACTTGACTTAAACTTAAGAGAAAATGGCTAGTACGCCTTGCAAACAATAGGGGCGACATATTCAACGTACTTAAACGCACGCTCTGTAATGTACTGAAAGTCATACACTTTCTTACAAGGACGGGATCCAACCTTGGTTTTGAAGCTATATCAGAAATTTGCGAGCTTAATTTGTTGAGGCAGAACAACGTTAAGTGTTATTAACCATACTTTGTTGTACTAGATTATACAGCGCGATGTTCTTTAGCACAATTAGCTACATAATTATTCTAACTATTTTGACATATCAGCAGTGCCATGGTATTAGTTCGTCCTGTGAGAGTTGCCGTTAATAAATCTTGATACTCACAATAACATAACGTGTAAATAATATAGTTCCTCATGGTGAAAATTTTGAACATTTTCTCTAGTGTAAAAAAAAATAACTTAAGTTCATGGTATGAAAGGACCCCCTCTATCCTCTTGTATTTGAAACATCTCATGTCACAACATCTGAATATCTTCAGATGTTGTGCCAGGCTCATAACACGACACATTAACAGAGGTGAGCTGGAGACAGTTCATTCCAGCTCCCCGATAACACTTGTTAATTTCCGGTTGGATCACCGATGAGCCGCTTATCGATTTTAGCAAATATTTGATAATCAATTAATCTTTAGATAATGCAAAATGAACGGGGGTTGTATGATGGAAACACAACGAACAACAAGAGTGAAATAACTATAAGGTAATCTGAAAGAGAATATAAAAGTGAATTAGCCTAATGTTGATATTTGAACATGTAGAAAACCCCCTACAGCGAAATGTGTAAACAATGAAGGGATACTCCAGGAGAGGAGTGGAAGTATCTGATCCGATGCAAAGGCTCACCAGGTCTCAAATCAATGTCTCTTATTACATCCATGAGCCAGTGGTTCCTTAGCGTCATTGACACTTACGGATTTACGCTGGTGTCTGACCGTTAACTTTAATTAGCTTTGGGTGGCAAGAAACTGTCAGTACACCCCTACATAAATATCGTTTAAATTCCCAAGCGTCTCAACATCCTCTCATTTTTTTTACCCTTTCGTTAACTGTCAGAGCACAAACCACAAACTGGAAAAAATAACACCATTAATTTCTCACTCAAGGAAAAACAATTCGCAGTTATGTGCCCCCTAGTTGTCTTTCTTGATAGGCGCGCACATCATGTTACTGAATATATATATATATATATATATATATATATATATATATATATATATATATATATATATATATATATATATATATATAAATCAGGTAGTGTCGCAACTCCAAGACTTAGGTCAGACTAACAAGTTTTCCTGAATCCCTTCATAATTACCAGGAACACACTCCAACAACACGTCAGCTCACATGGACCACACTCACCTCTATTCATACCACTTACTTTCACATTTTTTACCTTTCAAAATCTTACACACACACACACACACACACACACACACACACACACACACACTTCCTATTATGTCCCAGCAGCATAGAAATTCCCCTCCTTACTCTCTAAAATTTAGGAAAAAACTTTAAATGTATTATTGTTTAATAGCGTGAATTTCAATTTGAAAATTTCCTCCCCCTTTTTAAAAAATTTGCTACTTTCACTCTAATATAAAACTTCAGTGAGACAAGAGTGAGCGGAGGCGCAAATATTGTAATAGTTGAGACTGTCTGAGTGCGACTTTCTTAACATGTATGACGGGATTCTGAGGAACCTGATAGATGGAATGTTCTGGAGGTGAGAAGTACTGTACCTGCACCTGAGAGGTCAGGCGGGAAGTTTGTGGATCACTGGGTCGTCGTCTCACCATTTTTGAAGACGTTCCTTAACGCTTCTTTTTGATTATAATAATAATAATAATGAAGAAGACGTTTACAAAGCAAGTGATGGCGAATGTGTTTCTTCTTAGGGTCACTTTGCCATTCTGGAAAACAGCAGGGAATGTATACAACTCTTGTTGCATAACATTGACTTCCCAAGACACTTTTTTTGTTCGAACCTGTGTTAAAAAAAAATCACATTTAACAATTTCTTTTATTATGTAGTTCACCTTAACTTCTTACGAGTTTTCTCGTACGTGATAGTCAGTTTTTTTTTCATTATCATTAATTTTTCATGTCAACAGCTGGGAAGTTAACTGCATGGATGTATCCCCCTTACAGCCTGACAAAGCCGACCAAAACTGACAGATAAATAAACTCAGATTCCAAACATGCGCATCCCAGACTTTAATAGTTGTGCATCTCTTGCTGGGTTCTACTACACCATAAAAATAGTTATATTGACGTCTGTCCTGGCTATTGACATCTGTCTTGGCTATTGTCGTCTGTCTTGGCTATATAACTAACATCTGTCCTGGCTATTGACGTCTGTCCTGGCAATTGACGTCTGTCCTGGCTATTGACGTCTGTCCTGACAATTGACGTCTGTCCTGGCTATTGACGTCTGTCCTGGCAATTGACGTCTGTCCTGGCTGTAACATGATCAAGGTGCCAACACAATGATACAGTAATTAAAACACTCTAGTAACTTTAGCAGATTAAACTAATACCTCTGGATATATTTCTAGTCGTAAGATAGCTTTAAAAATTATTAATCGTTTTATAGCTTTTTTTTTTTAATAACGCAGTCGATTCCCCAAAATTCACTAGGGCTACGTCCCTGTGCTTCTTGCGAATCTAGAACGAAACATCATAATAATCTAAATAAGGAAAATCAAATTTTCATTATTTTCGTGTTTCTGAAATCCTTTTCATTTTTAAATGTACTTAAAATCTGGTTAACAGTGACATATATAAAACCATATGGAAAAGTATTAGCCACATCTTTAATCAAATTATATGAGTAGTTTTAAAATTTTAGAGCGAGCATCAATCCTCCACCACCACCTTCCCTGAAAATAGCCTCGAATAATAGAATTGATGCGCAAGTTGCCCATCTGGAAAAAAAATGTTGAATAACTGAATTCTGAGAATTAGAAAACTCGCAAATTTGGGGAGTCGACTGTGTGTGTGTGTGTGTGTATGTGTATGTGTGTATGTGTGTGTATGTGTGTATGTGTGTATGTGTATGTGTGTGTGTGTGTGTGTGTGTGTGTGTGTGTGTGTGTGTGTGTGTGGACGCATCGTCTAGTCAGAGGAGAAGCTTGTATCTTGCATATTATTATACTTCTAAGAAGCACTAAACCCGTGCAGGTCATTCAGCACAAGGCGTGTTGGAGGCTCTGATCACATGACACTACCAACCATGTTTACACTCTCAAGCCGAGTCACTTTATCACACTTCAAACATCTAAGCCGAGTCTCACCATCCACCTCACTTTCCGGCGTTGTCCCGCATGTGTAGCGCTGTGTTTCGCCGAAATAAATGTTCAAACTGTGACGCGCCATGGAGGAAAATTCCAGAGAGATTTAGAAATACAATTTTTTTTTTCGTGTCGTAAAATCATAGGCTTGCCGCTTGTGTAGATATGACAGTCAGAAATCGTAAACTCCGATGACCCTTGGGTAGTAGTGACCTCACACTGTGTTTATTGTGTTCTCAATGACAAAGATAGCCTTACTCTTGTACTCAAAAGCCTATTGAAGATTATTGTAAGCCATATCCACTATAGTTACGGACTTTGTTGACTTGTCGGGGAGGTTCGGGTGTTGAGATGGACGGAGTTGCTCCCAGTTGTGTTGTGCAAGTCTCTCTCTGCCGTCTTGAGGGCTGCAGTTATGGTTATTGCACGGACTAGCTGA